AGAGTCCCCCATTGGGGGGAGATGGGCGGGGACAAGTTTAATAAACAAACAAACAAACAAATAAATATTACATTCTTATTCCAGAACTGGTTTTATTTTACTTGGAGAGATTCTCCTCCAGACTCAGTTTCAGAAACTGGGTGATTCTTACAGACAGGCTTTTCTTAGGAGTATCGTCTGAGTTTAATTGAATAGGTACAGCTGCCATGCCTCCAAATCCCTTTGCAACTAAGCTTAAATAGCTGCGATAAGAGATGGGATAGATGAGACAAAGAGATTCCCATTTACTTCTGCCTACATCTCTCTCTTCTGCTTATTCCTTGCCTGCCATAAATAATATAATGCAAGTCCTCTAGGCAAGAAATTTTCCTATTTAACATCATGCACCCTGTTGGTATCAAAGCAGGTATAGTTGTAGAAATGAAGAAACTGTGATGAGGCACTTTGTAAAACAGTATACTATATGTTTGATATTCTTTCCATAACATCCACACATTAAACATCAGTTTAATTTTAGGTGTGTGCTTAAATTCTGGGAAGAATATGGAGTATACAGTATATACTTTGGGTGAAAAAAAGTATTTCCTTGTGGATTCCTTGGGGTTCTCTGAGCTTGGTTGTTTTCTTGCAAACGTTTCGTTACCTGGCTAGGTAACATCTTCAGTGCTAGTGTTTCCTTATTGGAATCTCTCATTTGCACTCTTGCATGTGCAGTGTACAGAATGATTTACAACCTACACAGACATTAAAAGCACAGAAATAATTTACCTTATTTTGAAATAAATTGCAATTGACCAGTAAACACATGAGTCTAGCATACAACCCTAGAAATATGGGCCAAGCACTCACTGATGCTTATGAGTTTCAATTGCACACAGAGCTTCCACACACATCTGGGAAAATCCATGTTCATACTGACACACAATGTGGGTAGGTGGGATATGTTCAGTGGCAGCGGAGTTGCATAATGTGATGATCTGTAATGATCAGAGGCTGGACTATTTACCTTTATGGTCATTTCAGCCAAGAAGATTGCTGTGAAAATATAATTGGAGAGAGTGAGGAAAATCCGTTCCTGTGGAAAGAGAGAGAGAGAGAGATGAAATGAGATTTAACAATCTTACTTATCAAGACTTTTAGGAAACAACACCCCAAATATGTGCAAGATCAGACTTTTCCTCTTCTGATCCTTTATCTCCCTTAGCACCCTGGACAGCTGCTAGATATTGGGATGGGGTAGAGATCCTTATTTTTATAATTTCCTGCCTTGCTCCTGTCATGAACTATGGTGTCATTCTAGTTGTCTCAAGAAATTCAGCATACACTGAAGGACATACAAGAAAGTGGAAGGCACAACATGTTATCATCCTATCTAATCTTATGGGGTAGGAGGAGACAACTCTTGAAAACTTAGGCCTTACCCCCTTGTATGTCACAGTGCAGCTGATGTGAACCATACTTTCTCCTGTGCTTACTGTGTGGGCCAAGAAGGATGATAATACTTTCCAAATCTGCATTAATTAAGATGCACAAGCACCATTCTTTTGACTAAAGTCAAATGTATTTTCTACCTTTATTCAAAAGCAGTGGGAGGTTCAGAAATACTACTGTAGTGAGAAACCTTGCCAATGTTGCTCCTTTCATCAGTAAATAAAAGAACAATAGTGCTACATTAATTTACAAACTGCAAGGGAATTATACAGCTGAAGCAAAAATATAAGCAGATGCAATGTGAGTTTCAAAACAATTATATATCCAGTTAACCAGTTCCGAACAGGAGGCCAAACCCTTCTTTATTTCGGCAACCCACCCTAAGAGAACAAAACCTCATTCTTTCTCTACACCTGCCTGTCACCTTGAAATAAGGTTTGTATTTCCCTCTTAATTACCTCACTATTAGTGGGTTGATTAACTCCAGTCAAGATTTTCAGTGTTTCAGGAGGAAAGCTGTACCAAAAGCTATTTATGGCACAAGGAATAGCTTGATCGTACAGGTGATGAGCTTCCAGTTAGTACAATGTTTATGTTACACATCACTATAAGCATGCAAGATTTCTTATAATACATCTACCAAATTCATTTTCATAATAATCTGTCTTGTTATTCTCCCATTTTACTGAAATGAAGAGCCGAAGACAACCTGACAATCCTCAGTTTATCCCAGAGGTAAGGAATCTGGTGTCTTCATGCTATTTTGAATGATAATGCCCACAATTCCTGCTGGCCTGGAATTATGGATATTGTAGTCCATAATGTCTGGAGGGTATCAGATTGGCTATTTTAACCAAAATTATTAGCTGCTTTGCAATCCTCTGGACCACATTACTATGGATAAATTGAATGGCTCTAACCACAACAGTAAACAAAAGTAATTAAAACCATACTTTTTAATAGTGATCTTTAAAGAAATTATGCTTTAGATCAGTGTTTCTTAAACTTGGCAACTTGAAAATGTGTGGACTTCAATTCCCAGAATTCCCTAGCCAGCATG